GGAGGAGGGGGAGGAGGAGGAGGAGGAGGGGGAGGGGGAGTTGTTCTACATGTTCAGTCTTTCGTCATTTTCGGTCTCCAGGGGCCATTTCGGGAACTGGGAAGCCGCGCGTTCCGGAACCGCGCGGGGACTGCACCAGACGCGCGGGGAGTGAAAGCGTATTTGGGTGGTGATCCCCACCGGGACCCCCCCAGGACCCCTTCGGGACCCCCCAGGATCCCCCCGGGACCCCCCCGGGACCCTCCCCCCCCGCCGGGGAAGGGACAAACGGAAGTGGCTTCCCTTTGACGTGGTTACGACATGGGTCGATTTCCGTCAAGCCCGCTTGAGCACTGCAACGACGACGACGACGACGACGACGACGACGACGACGACGACGACGACGACGACGACGACGACGAAGGCGACGACGACGACGACGACGACGACGACGACGACGACGACTACGACGACGACGACGACGACGACGACGACGACGACGACGACTACGACGACGACGACGACGACGACGACGACGACGACGAACGGCACAGCCCCTCACACACGCCGACAGGGTCGGCGGATTTGACGCGCGGAGCGCGCCAGGGCTGGCGCCAGAGGCGCCGCCAGGGGGGCCCAGGCGCCGACCCAAGAGGTCCGCGCGGACTTCCGACAATTTCTGGCTGTGCCGTTCCTGTTCCTGCATCGGCCCTGGATCCTCGGCCTCTGGTTGGACAGTGCCTCCGCTCGTCGAGAGCGTTCCGTTACCGTCAGCCTGCAGCCTCGAGCCTCGAGGTTCTCTGAGCCTCGGGGCCCCTCTGGAGCTCCGAGGCCCCTCTGGGGCCTCCGCGGCCTCCGAGCCTCGTGCCCCTCAGACCCGAGCTGGTCCCTCTGAGCCTCGAGGCCCCTCTGGATCCTTCCGGGCCCTCGGCGGCCGCGCCCCCCGGCGAGGCCGAGAGCCTCCGGGCCATCACGAAGGAGGAGGAGCGGCTCGCCAAGGAGGCGGAGGCCCTCGCGGAGGAGGCCTCGAGGCTGGAGGCCATGTCGGTGGAGGCGGTGCGCTCTCGTCGTCGCCGCCGTCGTCACCGCCGCCGCAGCCGTCGGCGTCGCCGCCGCCGTCGTCGCCGTCGTCGTCGTCGGCGTCGTCGGCGTGGGCGTCGCAGCCGTCGCCACCGTCGGCGGCTTCGTTGTCGTCGTCGTCGTCGACGGCGTCGGCGTCGGCGTCGGCGTCGTCGTTGACGTCGTTGTTGTCGTCGTCGACGTCGTCGTTGTCGTTGTTGCAGTCGCCGTCGTCGTCGCCGCCGCCGCCGTGGGGAGCGCAAGTGCACCGCAATTTGCAAGGGATGGGCCTTGGGGTCGCAAGCTTGTATCACTTGTCGTTCCCCGTCAAGGCACGCTCTTGGAGCCGCGTTGGGGGCCTCTTGGGGGCGTTTTGGGCTGTCTTGGGGTTCTCCTGGGATGTTTTGGAGCGCTCTTGGAAGCCTCGTGGGCCGCGTTGGGGCGATCGTGAGGGCCTCTTCGGCCGTCTTGAAACGGAGGGAGGTGGAAAAGGCGAAAACACCAACATCTGTCAAACACCTTTGGGAAATCTCCGTCTTTCTTGCCTCTTGGGGCTCTCTTGGGAGTGCCTTTGGAGGCTTCTTAGGGCGTCTTGGAGGTGACCTGGGCAGTCTGTGAGCGTGTAGGCGTTCTGGACCGATCGTTTGGCGATCGGGGGCCTTCTTGGACTGTCTCGGGGGCCTCTTGAAGCACTCTTGGCTTGTTTCGGTACTTCTTGCAGCCCCGGGACCCCCAGGGGGGGATGCGCATCTGACCCCCCCCCGGGTCTACCCCGGACCCCCCCCCCTGACGGTGGAGGGATCAAAGATCAAAGGGAAGCGGCTTCCATTCGATTCGATGACGACATTGCGAGTTTTGTCTCTCGCTGACAGGCTTGAGGAGGGTGCAGGGAAAGGGGACGACGCAGACGACGACTCGAACAGACAAACCCCTCGCACACGCCGACAGGCGGCGGATTTCTAGCGCCTCTCAGATCTGCGCATGTTTCCCGGCGAGAATCATTTTTTTCATCTTGCAAGAAATGCGCACGAGACCGAACCATGCACGGGGAATGGTCGTCCGAACGATGGCAAGGATTGGAGACATTTCTAATGCTGTTCGGCCCATTCCGCCACCGTGCCTGGAGTGTGGGTAAGTGTAGGAGGCTCATCGGGGGCCTCTTGGATGCAGTTCTGAGGCCTCTTGGATACCGTTTGGGTGCTTCTTTTGGGGCCTCTTGGAGGCCTCGTGGGGCCTCTAAGGGGGCCTCTTGGGCTCTCTTGGAGGCCTCTTGGAGCCTCCAGGGGGCCCCTTGGGGCGGATGCTCGAATTGTTGGTTCGTGTTCCCCCTCGTGGGCCCATCTTGGGGCCGTCTTGGGGCCCTTTTCGGCTATCTTGGGCGCCTCTCGGGACGATCTGGCCCTGTTGGACCGTTTTGGGGCCCTCTTGGGGGCCTCTTGGGCGCCTCTTGGGCCGTCTTGGGGCGGTCATGGGGGCCTTTGTGGCCATCTTGGAGTGTTGGAAGCTCGAAAACGCGAGAACGCGAACAACAGCGAAAGCACATGAGGAACATCAATGAGTGTTGCTTCGTTGGGTCCTCTTGGGGATCCTCATGGAGCGCTCTTGGAGTCCCTTTAAGGGCTCTTGGGCCGTGTTGGGGGCCATTTGCGGGGTCTTGGAGCGCTCTTCGGCTGTCTTGGAGGCCTCTTGGTCCCTCTTGGGCGCTTTCTGGGGCCCTCTTGGCCCGTCTCGGGGCCTTGTGGCCTCTGCGAACGTCATGCGAGGCCGCCCAACAGCGCGCGGAAACACCCAGGTAGTCTAAGAAGTTTGATGTCCAGCCCCTAGAATACTATAACATCAGAGTCCTGAGTACAGGGAATACAAGACATATGCGAGCCTGGAGACCCTAAACTCCAAACCGCCTCGCGGCACGGTGGCGGATAGAACAAGGAACATTGATTTTCTTACCGTCGCCGTCTTAATGGGTCCTTCGATTCGGTATATGATCGGGTTGGACCAGCCTTGGCCCGCGGCCACTTGTTGGTGTCGAGGTCAGACAGAGCTAGTGGAGCGTGCCAGCAGGCTTAGTGGGCGCCGTTCGGCGGCCTTTGGGAACTGTTGTTTGGCCTCTTTTGGGGGGCATCTTTCGGGCCTTTCGGGCACTTGGGGCAGAGGATTCGAAATCTCAATTCGAGTGCCCCTTCGTGGGTCCCTCTGGGAGCCATCTGAGGGCCCTCTTGGGCCGTCTTGGGATGATCAGGGAGGCCTGTTGGGCCGTCTTGGACGCCGTGAAAGCCGAACGTCGGATATGCTGAACATGCCTGCGTTCCAGAAGGGATGGTGTGACTCTTCTTCTTGGACCTCTCGAGGGAGGGCTCTTGGAGGCCTCTTGGGGCGTCTTGGAGGCCGTCTGGGGGCCATCGGGAGCGTCTAGGACCGATCGCTAGGCGACTCGGGGTCCCCCCGGACCGCCTGAAAGGCCTCTGGGGGCCCTCTTGGCCTGTCTTGGAGTCGTCCGGGGGCCCCGTAGAGCCGTTGCGGGTCCTCCTGGGGCGCTCCAGACGCGGCCCGGCCCGCTGGGCCCCGAAGCAATCAGGATCCGTCTCCCAACAATATAGGTATCCTTGGTGTGCGTGCACTTCTATGTGTACATGTGTATACGTGTATGCACAGCCCCGCGCTCTTTCTCTCTCTCTCTCTCTCTCTCTCTTTCTGTTTTTTTTTTTTTTTTCTCTCTCTCTCTCTCTTTCTCCCTTCCGTCCATTCCACCCCGTTCCTCCCGAGGGTCCCCGCCCGAACAGCCTCGATCCTGTTACCCCCCGATCCCCGAAGCTCGCGCCTGCGCCGATCCTCGGGCCCCGCCCAAGGGAAGCCCGAGCCTCCGCGGGCACGGAGCCTCGCGCCCAGACCTCGATGGGCCCGATCGCCCAAGTCGGATCCGCACCGCCTGCTGACGTCGTCCTGCCGTCGGAGCCCCGGGCCTGGCATCGCTCGGACGTGTGCACTTTACCTTCGGCGAGGACCATCGAGGAGCATCCTTGATCGTTTGACGAAAAAGCCGCGCACGAAACCGAAAAAAAACAGGGAATGGACGTCCGAGCGATGGCCAGGATGGGGTCGGAGGACCGCGCCGCATCGCCGATGCATCGGCGATGCGGCTCGATGTGAGGCCCGTGATTCCCCACTCCGACGTCAGCGATGCATCGCCGACGTCCCCGATGCATCGCCCATGCATTGGCGATGCGGCGCTATCCTTCGACCCCATCTACTCGGACACCATCTAGAAGGCCTCTACCGAAAAAAACACAGGGAGTGGACGTCTGAGCGATGGCCAGTGGACGCGCAGCGGCCCTCCCGGCGCCCGGGGAACAAGCCGCGGCCGGCGCCGGGCTGCGGCCCGTTGGCGGAAGGGCTGCGCCGGCCCCGAGCCCGCACGGAGGGCGGGCGGGCACGGCTGATGGGGCTGTGTTCCCCCACCGCCATATAAGTTGGAGGTGGAGGAGGAGGAGGAGGAGGAGGAAGAAGAGGAGGAGGAGGAGGAGGAAGAAGAAGAAGAAGAGGATGAGGAGGAGGAGGAGGAATAAGAAGAAGAAGAGGAGGAGGAGGAGGAGAAACCCCCCTCCCCCTCCTACTTCTGGTGGTGGTGGTGGTGGTGGTGGTGGTGGTGGTGGTGGTGGTGGAGGTGGACAACAAGCCCACCAACGGAGCCTCGCGCCCTCGCCCAGACCTCCTGCCCAGGAGCCCGGCAGGCCCGAGCCCCGCTCGCTGCGCCTGGCCGCCCCTCCTCCCCCCCTTCAGGGGTGTGCGCCTGCCCGCCCTCCCGAAGCGGGGGAGGGCGCGCTTTCGGGGCGGAGGGCAGCGAGGATGAGGGGGAGGGAAACGAGGGGGAGCGAGGAGGAGGAGGAGGAGGAGGAGGAGGAGGAGGCGCAGGAGGAGGAGAGGAGGAGGGAGGAGGGGAGGCAGGAGCGAGGACGAGGAGCCAGGAGCCAGGAGCCAGAGCGAGGAGGAGGAGGAGGGGAGGAGGAGTCCAGGAGTGAGTGGAGGAGGAGGAGGATGGGAGAGAGGAGCCAGCAGGAGCCGGAGCCAGGAGCCAGGAGTCCAGGAGCCAGGAGCCAAGACAGGAGCCAGGAGGGGGGCGAGGAGAGGAGGATGAGGAGGAGGAGAGGAGGGAGGGAGGGCCCGGGGAGCTTTGGCTGTGGTCGAGGAGCCGCGAGGCGGGCTCCTGCTCTCTGAGGCCCCGACGAGGGCCCCCGAGACTGGTGGGCAGCACCTTCTCCCGGTGCCGATCTCGGAAGCTGGGCCTCCCAGACGGGGTCAGAGTGGTGGGGTCGAAGGATCGCAACGCATCGCCGATGCATCAGCGGATGCGGCTTTGATGTGTGGAGTTCGGTTTTCTCCACGCCGACGGCGCGCCGATGCATCGCCTGACGTCGCCGATGCATCGCCGATGCGTTGGCGATGCGGCGGGATCCTTCGGCCCCACCCCGACCCCATCTACCGGGAGGCCTCTAAAGCAGTCCCCCACTATGTGAGGGCGCATCCCCAGGATTGGCATCGCCGTCGGCCGTGCCAGTCTCAGCGGTACGGGTGGGCTCCATGCTGGTGATTCCCTCCGTCCCGGTGGACATGGCGCCTGGCCCCTCGGGGGGCCTCGCGCGCGAGCGAGCCCCCCCCCCCCGCAGGAGTGGGGCGCCGCGCAGCCCGAAGCAGACGACGCCGGGCCGCCCGAGGGGGGCGAGGCAGGAGGCCGCCGCGGCGCGCGCCCGGCCGCCCCGCTCCTCCTCCTCCTCCTCCTCCTCCACCTCCTCCACCTCCTCCTCCTCCTCCTTCTCCTCTTCCTTCTCCTCCTCCTCCTCATCATCCTCCTCCTCCTGCTCCTCGTCCTCCTCCCTCCTCTCTCCTCCTCCTCCCTCCTCCCTCCTTCCTCCTTTTTTCCTCCCTCCTTTTTTCCTCCTCCCCCCTCCCTCCTCCTCCCTCCTCCCTCCTTCCTCCTCCTTCTCCCTCCTCCTCCTCCTCCTCCTCCTCCTCCTCCTCCTCCTCCTCCTGCTCCTCCTCCTCCTCCGCCTCCTCCTCCTACTTCCCCAGTGCATTACCGCTCGGCCCCATCTGATCAGATCAGTGATCGGAGATATATGTGTGTATAGGCGGAGTAGCCCCCACCAGAAAAGCAGTGTCGGCTCTGATTGGAATTGTGCATGTGGGCGAGGCAGCGCTGCGCGAGGCTGATGATGATTCGTCCCAGTCGAGGCCCACTCGGTCAAAAAAGGTCTGGTGTCTCGCGGTTGCCCGCAGTCGTTGTCCTGTGGATTGTCCCAGGGTTGTCCCGTGGTGGACTGGGGGGTTGTCGCGTGGGTTGTCCCGTTGTTGTCCCCACGTGTTGTCCCATGGGTTGTCCTGTGGGATGTTCCGTGGTTGCCGTGGGCAATCAACATGCAAATTCAATAGGAAACGATGGGCAGTCTGAAATGAACCGGGGGGGATAATTAGGCTGATGGGTGGCAGGCATCGACCCTGAATCGCCCATTGATCGACGAACCGAGAGCCCACCCCGCCGAGGAACGTTCGCTTCCCCATCGAGAGCACATCGCCGATCAATCGACGAGGTATCGCCGATTCAAGCTCGATATGGCCCCCCCTGCCCCCCTCAGCTGACCTCCGAGCTCACCCCCCCCCTTACGTGCCCCCTGACGTGCCTCTGACGAGCATGAACGTCTTCCTCCTCCTCCTCCTCCTCCTCCTCCTCCTCCTCCTCCTCCTCACCCTACCCCTCCTCCCCCTCCTCCTCCTCCTGCTCCTCCTCCTCCTGCTCCTCATCCCCCTCATCCTCCTCATTGCAGGTCTTCAGAGGTCCGGTCCCTGGAGGCTTGCTGGAGGTCCTCGGGAGAGGCCTTAGTTCCGGAGGGTTCCAAAGGGGGTTTTGGGGGAGGGGGATTTCCAGAGAGCCCTCCAGGTGCCCCGGGACCTCGTCAAAACGGAGGGGGCGAAGCCCCTGGGGGGACCCCTCCTGGAAAGCCCCCTCCCCAAAAAACTCCGTTGGAACCCTGCGGTTAGTCGGACGGATCCAGGAAGTCCGTTCCATAGCGCGGTGGAGCGCTCTCAGAACGTTTGGGAACGCTCCGAGAGGGCCGCGGCGGCCGAGGCATCCTCCAGAGCTGCTCCATCTCAGGGGCTCTCGATCTATCCTGGCCCGATTTCAGCCCCGTTCAGGCTGCGCCTTGCCTGGGAGGCCGTCGGCGGCCTCCAGGAGGCCGCGGCGAGATTGGCGAGGAGGAGGAGGAGGAGGAGGAGGAGGACCAGGAGGAGCAGGAGGAGAAGGATGACGAGGAGAAGGAGGGTGAGCAGACGCCAGGAGGAGGAAGAGGAGGAGGAGGAGGGGGAGGAGGAGGAGGAGGAGGAGGAGGAGGAGGAGGAGGAGGGGCCAGGCGGCGACGGCGGGAGCGCCGCGAGGCTGCGTGGCGGCGGCTGCGTGGCGGCGGCCGCGACGGCTACAGGCGAGGCTGATGAGCAGGTCGACCCTGCCACATCAAGGGTAGGTCTTTTAGCCGGGCCCGTCCCTCTAGAGGAGGAGTATGCAGAATTAGCAAAAATAGAGTCGGGGGCTGATGAGTAGGTCGACCCTGCCACGTCAAGGGTAGGTTTTTTAGCCGGGCCCGTTTCTCTAGAGGAGGAGTATGCAGAATTAGCAAAAATAGAGTCGGGGGCTGATGAGTAGGTCGACCCTGCCACGTCAAGGGTGGGTTCAAGCCGGGCCCGTCCCTCTACAGGCGGAGTATGCAGAAATAGTAAAAAGATAGTCGGGGGGCGATTTGTTTGAGCATCTTTGGATTATTCGGTTTTTTTTGTTGCTGAGTAGTTTTAGGTTGTCCTCCAGAATCCGCCTGTAGGGGGACAGGCCCGACCCATGGGTAGGTACCCTTGTGCCCTGTGTTTCGCGACCCATGCCATCCTGCATTCCTGTGGCAGTGCGCCCCTCGGAGGTGCCCCGTGCCCCTCCGGCCGCGCGCTGACGGGGCCGGGGGGAGGCGGGAACGCTCCGAGAAGCAGCCTCCTTCGGAGAGGCCGTCCCCCCTCCCCCCTCGCCCCCCTGCGCGCGCCACCACTCAGGAGGAGAAGAAACGCACAGACACAATTAATCGTCGAGTCCCAGGAACATATGGGCAGTGGGGGGGAATACGAAAACCTAAAAAATATGAGAAGATATGGGGAGTCCTGTTATTTGTGTGGATTCGTTCGTGTGTCCTGGGGCCCCTTCTGCCACGCCCTCACGCGTGTCCCCTTCGGTCAGCCCCGACTGCACCGCGGAGGCGCCCACGCGCCCGGCGCCGCGCGCAGGCTGCTGGGGCAGCGTGCCGCCCCCGCCGATCGCGCAGCTGCGGTCGGAGGAGCCCGGCCCGCGCGGCGGCCAGCGGGCGGCGGAGGAGGATGAGGTGCCCCAAGGGGCGCCCTCGAGGGCGCGAAGTGATTCGCGCTTCGCGCTTCGGCTCCGATCCATCCCTCCTCCTCCTCCTCTCCTCCTCCTCCTCCTCCTCCTCCTCCTCCTCCTCCTCCTCCTCCTCCTCCTCCCTCCTCCTCCTCCTCCTCCTCCCTCCTCCTCCTCCTCCTCCTCCTCCTCCTCCTCCTCCTCCTCCTCCCCCTCCCCCTACCCCTCCCTCTCCTCCTCTACCCCCCGGGGAGGCGGCGCGAGTGCGCGAGGTGCCTCGCGAGGGCGCGAGGGCGCGAGGGCGCGAAGGCGGGAGCCCTGCTGCCCCTGCCGCCAATCTCGCCCCGGAGGCCCCTCGCCCCCGCGGCCGGCACCCCCTCGAGGAAGCTCGGGCAGAGCGCACGCTCCGGGAGGGGGCTTGGGGGCAGCGGCATCTCGGGGGCCCCAAAACGGTGTGGTGACCACACCGTGCGGTGAGTCGGTGGGGATTCGGGGTCACTGCACGGTTTTGGGCCTCGGGTCGTTCTCCGAGGACGTCTCGGGCGATTGGGGCATCCGAGGTCCCCAAACCGTGCGGTGACGGACCGTGCGGTGAGGTCAGGGGGGATTTCGAGGTCACCGCACGGTCCGTCACCGCACCGTTTCGGGACTCCAAAGCATCGGTGCCTCTCTGCCCCTCTCGGGGCGGGGGCGCGGGCGGGGGCGGCGTCTGCCGCGCGCGTCGCCGGCCCTGCCGCCTCGGGAGGAGGGGGAGGAGCCGCTTTCGGGCACGAGTGCTCGGCGGTCCGCGCGGGCCTGCGGCGGTTTGCAGTCAAGCACCCTCTGTGGAGCCGGGCCTTCGCGGGGCCGTCTGAAGAAGCGATCTTCGGCCGGGGGGGCGGGGCGGGTCGGTCACCACCCACCAGGCCACCCCCAGCCCAACCCAACAGGCCTCAATGAACCCTCCAGTTCCAGCAGTGGGGGGGGGGTCGAGGAGCACTGACAAAAGCACACGTGGAACCCGTACCCCCCCCCCTCCCCAACCCGAAGTGCGGGTCGTCGGGCTGGGTTGGGGTGACCTGGTACAGCCAAAAACCCGCATAAGGACGCGCGACTTTGCTCAGGGTACCCTTGCGTCCTTGCTCTTCCTTGCTCTTGCGTCCTTGAGGTTTTCGTCGTCCGCCGCCCCAAAGCTCCCAACTTCGGCTTCCAAGGGTCTTGCGCGTCCTTACCGCGCGTCCCTATCAGGGTTTTTGTCTATATGTTTATGCAGTGCATGTTTCCTCTGTGCTCGTCCGCCTGGCTCCTCGCCTTCGGCGCGCTGCCCCCGTGCAGCCCGCAGAGGGCATCCTGTGGGCACGGCCACCAGGCCTGGCCAGGGCCATCCTCTGCCGCGGTCGGAGCAATTGTCGAGTTTCTCTTGCAACCCGGCAGTTCTCAGGATAGTAGAGCGAAGGAGAAGCGCCATAGACATGAAGTTTTGGCGCTCCGCGCGGATTTCTTGGATCCGCGCCGGGCTCCCTTGGCGGTGCCTCCAGTGCGGCGCGCGCTCCGCCTGCCAGGGAGGGGCGGCCAGCGCGGATCCAAGAAATCCGCGCGGAGCGCCAAAAGTTCATGTTTATGGCGTTTTTTTCCTTCTCGTATAGATTCCGATGACTTCTGCGTCATCCACCCACTACAGTCAAGATATCTGTTTCGGCACGCTTCCTCCAGAGGGAGCGGTGGCAGCTCTTTCTCCTGCTGGTTTGGTAGATCTGGTCTTAGATTGTTGTCGCCCTCGTGTGTATGCAGCACAACGGGGCCTCGACCATGAGGGCGTGATTACACGGTACCTCCTCCTGTTCTTCTTTCCTGCCTTCGTGGTCCTTCCTCCTCTTGCCTCCTCCTCCTCATCCTCCTCCTCTTGCCTCCTCCTCCTGCTCCTCGACCATGCAGTCCAAGAGCCCAGGGTAGCCTTGGCTTGGTACGGTGGTGGTGCATATGGTGCCTCCTGCGCTCGCGCGGCCAATGCGTCAGACGGCAGACGACGCGCTGCTCGCACTCCTCGCCGCCCCTGCGCCTGCGCCTGGGACTTGCGCCTGCGCCTGGGACTCGCGCACCCGCTTCAAAGGCGAGAGTCGGCGGCGAGCCTGCTGGGGGGGGGAGGTGAGAGAGGCGGGCAGGCCTTCGAAGGCGCCGGTGCTTTCCAGAAGCCCTCCGGCCTGCTGAGAAGCCGTCCCCGCCTCCGGCGAGGGCTCGGACCATATTTCTCGGGAGGCGCGAGGGCTCCTGGGAGGCCCTCCCGCCTTCGGAGAGGGCCTGCTCCCCCTCGCTGCCCCCCCCTGGGCTCCTCCCCGAGAGGAGGGGAGAGAGGAAGGGAGGACCACCGGGGCTCCTCCCCGAGGGAAGGGAAAGAGGAAGGGAGGGAAGAGAAGCAGGACAAGCGAGGAGGAGAGGAGCGCTGGGGTTAAGTCGGGCCTGTCCCCCTACAGGGGGATTTTCGACGGAAAAAAAAAATACCCTAAAAATAATGAAAAAATAGTCAGGGAACTATTTGTTTAGTATTTTTGAACCTCTTTTGGGTCTTTTCGGTGTTTTTTTAAATTTGTCGTCGAAGATCCCCCTGTAGGGGGACACGCCCGACATAACACTGGGGTGGAAGCCTCCCGTGCGCGCGCGGAGGACGCCAGTCGGCGGCAGGAGTTCGCAGCGGCCCTGGCCATCCGCAAGGCGCGTCGGGGGGGGGCCCAGCTCCCCGCCCGGCCCAGCTCGCCGCGGCTGCAGCTAGGCTTAAGTCGGGCCTGTCCTCCTACAGGGGGATGTTCGACGAAGGATAAACAACAATACCCCAAAAATACCCCCAAAAGGCAAAAGAAAAACTTCAAAAAATAGTCCACAGACTATGTTTGTATTATTTTTGATTATTGTTGGGGTATGTTGTTTGATTTTCGACAGCAAAATAACCAACACCCCAAAAATACACCAAAAAGGTCAAACAATATTCAAAAAATAATCCCCAGGCTATGTTTGGACTATTTGGGGAGTATGTTTTTTGGTATTTTTGATTTTTCGTCGAAAATTCCCCTGTAGGGGGACAGGCCGGACTTAAAGCTAGGGGCTGCTGCGTGCAAGTCGATCGCTCGGCGACTGAGGGGCAGTCCGCGTCGGGGTGGCAGAGGTCAGGACCAGGGTCAGGATCAAGATCAGGATCAGGGTCAGGATCAGGATCAGGATCGGGATCATAATCAGGATCAGCATCAGGATTGGGATGATGATTATGGTGATGATGGTGATGGTGATGGTGATGATGATGATGGTGGTGGTGATGGTAATGGTGGATGCGATGGTGCTAGTGATGGTGATGATGGTGATGGCGATGGTGATGATGGCGATGGCGATGGTGATTGCGATGGTGTTGGTGGTGATGATGAAGATGATGATGGTGGTGGTGATGATGATGGTGATGATGATGGTGGTATGGTGCTGATGGTGATGGGAATGGTGATGGAGATGATGGCGACGGTGATGGTAGTGATAATGATGATGCCGATGAGTATGACGAGCATGACGACGATGATGATGTTGATGGCGATGCTGATGATGATGGGTGATGATTATGGTGCTTATAATGAGTCTGATGACTATGATGATGGTGATGGTGATGATTATTATGCTTATGCCGACGATGATGATGATGCTGATGACGATGAAGACGATGATGACGCTGATGATGGCGATGGTGATGGTGACGGTGATGGTGTTGGTGGTGAGGATGATGATGATGATGATGATGATGATGATGATGATGATGATGGTGGTGATGGTGATGGTGATGGCGATGGTGATGGTGATAGCGATGGTGATGGTGGTGATGATGATGATGCTGATACGCATTGATAGAAGGACGGTGCTGATGCTGATGCTAGTGTTGTTGCTGATGATGATGATGATGATGATGCTTATGCCGATCAGTATGAGTATGGTGATGATTAAACTGATTATGATTAGGATGATGCTGTTGATGATGCAGATACTGGTGATGCTGATGATGCTGATTATGGTGGTGATGGTGATGATGATGGTGATTGACTATGCTGAGGCTGAGGATGAGGCTGAGGATGAGGCTGATGATGATAATGAGGATAAGGATCGGGATGATGGTGAGGATGATGTTGGTGATGATGGTGGTGACGACGATGCTGCTGCTGATAATGATGATGCTGATGATTCCGATGATGCCGATTATGATGCCGATGAGGAGGAGGACGACGAGGAGTATGAGCATGGTGATGGTGATAGTGATGGTGATGGTGATGGTGGTGGTCGGGACCGAGCTCGGATCGAGCGCCGCGCGCGTCGAATGAGCGGAGCGAGCGAGCAATAGGCATGCCAGAGCCTCATCACCAACGACGAGGGCACGACGGGCAGGAGTCATGACACTAGGGTCGTCGGGGCGAAGACCCCGCAAACAACGATTCCACCGATCACGCCTGTTCGGCCCTCGACGGAATTGGGCTGGATCGCACGGCAGCAGCAGGCCCACGAGCCGCGCCTCGCGCATAGGATCCGCACGCCGTCCACGCCATCGACCCTTGGCCAAGGGCGCCCTCGAGGGCGCGAAGTTATTCGCGCTTCGCGCTTCGCGGTTCGGCTCCGATTCCTCCTCGTCCTCCTCTTCTCCCCTGGGAGGCGGCGCGAGAGGGCGAAGTTATTCGCGCTTCGCGCAGCGCGAAGCGCGAAGTTGGGAGCCCTCACTTGGCCTGTGCCCCCTGCACGCCTCAGGCGGCACGGGGCCAGCCTCGGGGAGAGGCGCCGTGGGTGGGGTTGCCGCCGTCGCCCACGCCCTGATGGTCCGCTGCCGAACATTTTTTCGGTAGCGCTCCGCAGAGATCGGTCGCCACCGAAATACCGAAACGTAGCGCCCAATACCGCCATCGGAGCGTTCTGAGATCCGCTATCTCAACGCCCTCGAACGAAGATCCGGTCGCTACCGAAGTTCGGGGTGCGTCGAAATCGCTACCGAAAATTTCCGGTACCAGACCATTTGGGCAGGCTGCCCCCCCGAGCCGTCTATAGGGGCGGGGCGCGGCACTCCCCCGGGAGGCCCCGCGGGCCTGGTCTGCGGCCCACGGGGCGCGAGCGGGCTGCAGGGAGCCTGCCACCCGCAGGCGGTGGGCATCCAGCCGAACCTCTCCCACGGGCGCCTCCCGCGCGAGAGTGCTCCGTGGGCGCGATCCCGCCGACCCCGAAAAGTCGCAAGAGTGCGAGGCCGCACGGCAGGAGCTCCAGGAGCAGGGGCATATGCCGCCTCTGGCCGGAGCTCCGGCGCCGGAGCCCCGGGGAAATCCCGGATTTCGATCCCGCGCGGGCGCGGATTTCAAAGTCGCGCCGGCCCCACCCGAGCCGGGATCCGTCGCCAGAGCTCCAGAAGCGGATTCAGCGGACGGCTGGGAGGACGAGGAGGGCACAGAAGCCGTCAGCGCCGCTCCAGTCATCAGCGCTGCGGCAGCCACCCATCGCCTGGGGGGCGGTGGACGTGGCCGGACTGCACTTCGAAGGCTCAATGTCTTCGGCGAATCGCACCCGCTTGTGAGGAGGACCTGGGCAGCCTGGGGCGAAGAAAAAACGACTGGGGCACCCTCCCCCCCGCCTGGGGCCGCCGAGCACTGGCTCGAAATGCTGGCATCCTGGGACGTTGTCGGAGGCCCCCCCGCGGGCCTCCAATACTGGGGCTAGTTTCCGCCTCCGGGAATCCCAGGGACCAAAAACTGGGGAGGGGGGGGCGAGGCCGCTCCTGGGGATGCTGGGGCGGCCGCGGGGCGCGGAGGGCGAGGAGGAGGAAGCTCAGAGGCCCGCTCGACCACATCACCCCGAGCCGCCTGGGCCCGCGCCTGGAGCTCCCTCCCCCTGCACGTTGCGGCGGAGCACGCGCGCGCGACCAGCCAGCGCGGGAGCTTCTCTGCCGCACCATGCGCAACGCCACCCACGAGGCAGCGAAGCAGGACATGAGCAGAGGCTGCCGTCGCGCATGGCTGACCCCGGCGTCGCCCCTGCCGGCGCGTCCGCCGCTTTCGTGCATGCGGCGGCCGCGGATCGCGATGCGGCGCCAAGGCCCCCGACTTCAGGCCGTCGCGCACCGCTGCCGCCCAGCGGGCCGTGTGACGAGTGCGTCGAAGAAGGAGCTTAGATTCCACCTCCTGCTGGTCCGTGAAGCAGTGGCGTCCAGACCCCACGCGAGCGAGCGCCCCCGCCCAGTCGTTGCCGTGCCGATGGTGGTCGTTGCCGCTCTGGTGCCCACGGTCGTGACCCGTGCGCACGTCCGAGGAGAGGCCGCCGTGGTCGTCCAGCTTGGCCCACAGCTGCCCCCACAAGAGCGCGATTCGAGCGCGTGGGGCAGTGCGACCACAGGCGCGCCCGCGCGCCAGGCCGAGGATGACCTCCAGGTGATCCGTGCGGGTGCAGAAACGCGGAGCGGCCACCAGCAGGAAGGCGGAACGGCCACCGCCGCAGGATCTGGATCGGGATGATGCCGACGACGACGACGATGGCGACGACGACCACGACCACGAAGACGATGATGATGATGATGATGATGATGATGATGATGATGATGATGATGATGATGATGATGATGATGATGATGATGATGATGATGATGACGATGACGATGATGATGATGATGATGATGATGATGATGATGATGATGGTGGTGATGATGATGATGATGATGGCGATGGCGATGCTGCGGATGATGCTGATGAGGATGGTGATGCTGACGATGCTGGCGGTGTCGATGGTGGTGGTTGTTGCGGTGTTTGCGATGCTGACGATGAGTACGGTGATGATAGTGATGCTGCAGATGTTGTTGATGATGAGGAGGGTGATGACATTGATTATGATTCTGATAGTGATGATGGTGATGCCGATGATGATATTGTTGATGATGATGGTGATGATGGTGATGATGATGATGATGATGATGATGATGATGATGATGATGATGATGATGATGGTGAGGAGGATGAGGAGGAGGAGGAGGGGGAAGAAGAGCGCACGATCCATGATCTTGAATGTTTGCGAATGCCCAGCACGATCTCCAGAAACGACTGCCGGCAGTGGCCCCAGACCTCCCGAAGCGTATCTTTAGCCAATCTCATCCTGACAGCACTCTGGTCCCACCGTCAGCCTCGGAGCCCAGACCTCTCGAAGCCACCATCGGGACTGAGCCTTCTTCCCCCGACCGCCGTCCTCTGGCGCCCCCCGCCGTCAGGCCGAGAGTCGTGAACGGCAGTCCGGCCTGAGCTTCACAAGGCGTCGGGGGCCTGGGCCCGAGGAGGGGTCCTGAACAGGCCTTCGGTTGCGTCCTGGCCAGGATTCCGATGGAGACCCAACTGGCGACGAGAGCGCCCAGGGAGGCTCCAAAACGGGCGAGGGGTGCGTCATGGCGCCCACATCGCAGAGCGGATTGCGTTCGGACCTTGGTAGGATGGGCCCAGAGTGTCCTGGAGAATTGCGTTCCGGATTTCGCAGTGAATGTCGTGTGGATGTTTCGGGCCAGGGAGGAAGACGAACAAAAATCCACGCGACGCCCACTTCGTTTCTCGCTCGCCGCGCAAAACTCCGCCGCACCACGTCTGCAAGGCTGGTGCAGTGCTATGTGCGAAGACGTCAATCGCCAACCCTCCGGGACCGACGCCGACCTGCGGTCGAGATGGCAGCTTCCTGGCAGACGACGCTCCGCCTCGGAGGCGGCGCCCCGACGCACCGGCCACGGCCACACCGGCCAGTTCCACACGATCCAGGACGCAGAACTCGGGGGCGGCCAAGAGGGGGGTGACGACTAGGGGGGGTGGATATCATCAGAGCCCCGAATCATCAGGGGTAACTCGGGTCGGGGATAACTCGGGTTCGTTTTTCGGGAGTCCGAACCCGAGTTACCCCGGACCCGAGTTACCCCGGATATTTCGGGCGTCCAGAGCCCCGAATCATCAGGGATAACTCGGGTCAGGGATAACTCGGGTTCGTTTTCCGGGAACCCAAACCCGAGTTACCCCGGACCCGAGTTACCCCGGATAACTCGGGCGTCCAAACTAGGGGGGGTGGATATCATGGCGGGGGCCATGATGCCTCCCCAGATTCCATGGCGCCTCTTCTTATTCCAACACGTCCCCTTCCCCCACCCTGGGCCGCGCACGTGCAGCCAGCCATGACTTGCGCCCCCCCCCCCCCCCCCCCCTCCTGGACGCCCCCCCCCCGGCCGCCCCCGAAGAACAGAAACCAGACTTGATTCTGCCGAGTATTTGAAGATTCGGGTCTGGTCGGAGAAGGAGGATTGGAGGGAGGAGGCGCGACACCGCCGCCGGCGGGCCACATCCAGCGAGGAGGTCCACGATGCCTTCCGAGCTGGAGAGCGGAGATGCTCCGAGCGGGACGCCGAAAACAAGGGGGACCACACCACCAGAAGCGTAAGTGGTTATGCCCATATGTCCCCCCTGACTTCTCGCCATGGTGGTGTGGTTGCGACGACGGTGTTTGCTCTTGCCCGACGTCGTGATCACAGCGTGAATCCCTGGAGGTCTAAACCCCTTCGCTGGGACAAGCTTTCATTTTCGAGCTGTTTGTAGACGGACTGGGGCCCCCCGAGGCCGAACGTGTCCAAGGATTTGCCGTCTTGATTCTCTCGCGACGCCATGGGGCTCTGGAGAGAGAGCCCTGGCGCGCCGACCCGCCCGGTCGAGGTGCTGACGGCCATGCGCGGCGCCACGGAGAACACCTGGGCCGAGGCGGCCAGCGAGCTCGACCAGGCCTACGGCTTCCACGCGAACGACCTCGGCGGGAGGGTTCGAAGACCTCGGCCTTCGATTCTCGAGCCCGTCCTCGTCAGTGTGTTTTGCTTCCATGTCCACTGCTTGTCGCACCCTGTCGGCAGGGCGATCTGGGCGTTTCGCCTGACTTTTTGTTAACATTGGATGATCCTGATGTTTGAACCTTGCAGCAGCTAGAAATGATGGGTTCGCCTTCACGCCGCGTTCTCAAACTTCTGCAACAGTTGCAAGAATCTAGGGTTGTCGTTTGCCAAATGGAGCCCTCGACCTAGCACTGCGCACATTTGTTTAACAAGCTTGAAACAATTGCAAGGATTGAGTGGCAGGGGTGCCAAATTGAAGTGTGTGTGTGTGTGTGTGCGTAAAGTCTTGTTGTTGTTACAAGGGTGGACTCAAAATTGTGCTCTCGCCCTAGCACCGCGCAGATTCGCTCAACAAGCGTGCAGCCTGCAACGGTTGCGAGGCTGTAGCGTGTTCAGAATGCAGGTCCCGCCCTAGCGTCGCGCGCACTTGTTTTTTACAGTTCCCATTGGTTCCAGAGGAGGGGGCGAGCGGCTGGACGTCCTTCACTCAGGAGGGAAAGAAACACACAGACACAATTAATCGTCGATCCCCAGAAAATATTGGAAAATATTGGAAGTGGGGGGGAAGACAGACACTTAGAACACATGGGAAAATATGGGGATATGTTTTATTTGTGTGTATCATTTGTTTATTCACCCACCCACTCTGCGGCCGGCGCGCCGCGCGGGGGAAAAAACACGCCCCGCCGTAGTTGTTCAGCACCCGCCCTCCCCCCCCTGCGGGGCGAGGTAGTTTCGGAATTCGCTATCTGGCCTCGGTCGGCAGCCTTGGTGTTGGCACCCCCTCCGCGGCCCAGCAGAATGGCGGAATGCGATTTGCGCTGAGCGTTCTGTTTCGGAATTCGCTCTGGCCTCGGTCGGCAGCATTGGTGTTGGCACCCCCTCCGCGGCCCAGCAGAATGGCGGAAGGCGCTTTGCGCTGAGCGTGCTGTTTCCGCACCCACCCGTTCGCCGACCAGCCCCTCCCCCTTTGCTCCGCCACGCGCAGAGGGGGGTGGGGGGTAGGGGGGATGGCTCCTCAGAGGGACCCCTGCTTCTCAGAAGGCGCGGGCCTGATCTGTAGATGTGAGGCCGGCGCCTTCTAAGAAGCCGCCTGCTTCTAAGAAGCCATCCCCCTTCCCCCCACCCCCTTGTGCGCCCCCCTCCCCATTTGCGGCGTCCGCAGTTTCGTCGGTGGGCGCGTCGTCGTCGTCGTCGTCGCCGCTGTCGTCGTCGTCGTTCGTCGTCGCCGTCGCCAGGGCTGGCGCCCCACCCCCAGGGGGCGTCAATTCATCGTCGCTTTTTGTCAGCGTCCGTCGTTGTGCGTCGTCGTTGTCGGTGGGCCTTTCTAGTGGAACAAAAAGTGTCATAAACATAAAAACCCTGAGGTCCGCGAAGATCTCTCGGATCGGCGCTGAAACTCCCTCCCTGGCGCGCGGAGCGGGCCAGGGGCGGCGCCGGAGGCCGTGGGCCCCAGCGCCGATCCCAGAAATCCGCGCGGACCTCCGAGTTTTTATGTTTATGTCACTTTTTGTTTCCCTACTTTCGTTGCACCTCCTCTCCATGGGGCATCGGCAGTTCGTCGTCGTCTTTGGCGTCGTCGCCGCCGCCGTCGTCGTCGTCGTTGTCCGTCTCGGTCTCGGGGGCTCCCCTGGGGCGGGGCCTGACATGTCAGTTCGGGTTCGCCCTCTCTGGCTTCATTGTGGCGATCTTGGTACGATTTCCACCATTGCAACTATTGTTGATGATGTTAAAGGAAGGGTGTTTGGCCGTCCTAAGGTCACAGGTGTGTATTTTGCCAACGGGCCAAGAATTAAGGTTCGCTGGCCTTGTCCTGGGCATTTCAAGGAGGTGGGTTTTATGGTGAGCGGCGCCCACGATCCAGGAGTCAAGGATGATTCAGGGGTCGCCATCTCCGCGCTGGGGCCACGGGGTAGGGTGGGTCTCTGTGGCGAGCGGCACTTAGGAATCAAGGGTCGCCACTTCCGCGCTGGGGCCACGGGGAGGGTGGGTCCTCGTGGCGAGCGGCACCCAGGCATCGAGGTCGATGATCCTCCGAATGCGTGTTTTCCTGCCCCAGCCTTGCCGATAACTCGCAGCCCTCGGCAGTCACCAGCACGCAGGAGCAGGTGTTGCGGGGCCTCGCCGGGGCCCCGCAGGAGTCGTCTTCTCGATGCGACTCGCCTCTTGCCCTTGCTTCAAAGTTGGCCCTCAGCTCCTCCCCTCGCCCTTCTCCTCTTATTTCCTCTGCTCTTCCCTCCTCTTCCCTTAATCCCTTCCCTCCTCTTCCCTTCTCTGCTCTTCCCTCCTCTTCCCTTAATCCCTTCCCTTCTGCTCTTCCCTTCCTGCTCTTATTTCCTCTCTGCTCTTCCCTTCTCTGCTCTCCCGCCCTTCATCCCTTCCCTCCTCTTCCCTACCCTTGCCCCTCGCCCCTCTCAGCCGACAGATGGTGCGCATTGCCGTCGCAATTTCCGGTTACTGACGTAACCTTGGCATCGCTCGGACGTGTGCATTTTTTCTCGGCGACGGCCATCGAGGACCATCCTTGATCATTTGGCGGAAAAACACTCACGAAATCGAAACATACACGAGGAATGGACGTCCGAGCGATGGCGAGCAACTCTTTTTCTGTCAGCAAGGGTGGGCATTGACGCAGAGAACGCATCGTGTGTTCGGCCGTTTCGAGGAACCGACGCAATCTTCGGTCGCCGACGTAACGCTTCCGTCAGTAACGAAATGCCCCTTGTTAGTGACGTGAGCGTTCCGTCGGTGCCGCCAATTTCGTCTGTTATTTGCGCGGCCCGTGGCGGAGTTTGGCTCTCGCGACGCACGAGAGGCACGTGCTTCTACAGCCCATCTAATCAGAGTCTGCCGCGCTTTCTGCACTTAACTTTGCGCGCTGTGCCTGCGATCCACCAGCGTGCAGAGACGTTCTGTGACGCGCGCTGGTGTGCGTTTACATAACGTGCAAGTTACCGAAGGGTGTCGCTGGACAAACGCACGTTAGCATTAACGCACGTTCTGAGGATCATTGACAAGTGTCGCCATCTCCGCGCTGGGGCCACGAGAAATCGTGATTCCCAGGGGCGAGCGGCACCCGGGCGGGAATCAAGGATCATTTGTTCGCGCACCGTATGGGAAACGTATTGAATGACAGTGCGTCGATTCATGTAGAGGCCCACAACTCAAGTGACACAGTTGATTTGTTCAACGAGTCTTCTGGTGACCAACCCGTCCGTGGGGCACCTGTCGCGCGCGCCGTATGGGAAGCGCATTGAGCGGCAATGCATGGAATCATTGACGCCCAGAATACAAGCGAAGCAAAGTGTTTTTCTCAATCAGTTTTCTGGTGACCCACCCGTCCTCGGGTCACCTGCTGTGCGCGCGCCGCATGGGAAACGTACTGACTGGCAATGCGCCGTTCCAGGTTGAGGCCCAGAACGCACATGAAGCAATAGGTTTCTCTTAGCAAGTTTTCTGGTGGACATGCTGGTTGGCGACGGCATCCTGCAGGGCATGACTGGCTGACGCCGCCCCTCCTGCAAGAATGGCGCCCCCCGGCCTCTGGGCGCTCGTTGAAGGGCGGGAGGGGGGGGGGGGGGGGGCAGACGCCGCGCGAAAAGGCGCCCAAACCTGGTCCAGCTGCACAGCGAAGTGGCACCGCCGAGGCCGAAGACGGTCCGAACAGGCCCCAACGAGCTCCCATCGCCGAAACGGGCCCTGAGAGGCCTTCAGAAGCTCCAAAGAGGCCCCCACGAAGAAATCCAAAATGCCCCCAAGAAACGCCCCGAGCGGTTCTCGGGTGCATGCGCAAACCTCGGAAACGCATCGGTGGCGGAAGTGCGAGAACACAAAAATCAGACATGTCTCTGATTTGGGCCTCTCGAGGGCTTCCCCGGAGCTTTTGGAGGACTCTTGGCGGCCTCTTTGGGCGATGTTGGGTGCTTCTGAAGGCCTGCCGAGCCAATTTGAATGATTCGAGACGTGCCCAACCACTTTTTCACATAACGCAAGGTAAGGAGCCAAGCGCCTCGACGGCGCAATCGGCAAATCAGAGCCGTCTGTGCTCTGCACTCTGCTCCGCCGCGTCGCCCTGGAGCCATTTGGGCTCCTGGGCGCTGCTTCCGCTTCTCGTCCTCCTCCTCGTCGTCGTCGTTCTTTTCCTCCTCCTACTCCTACTTCTCCTCGCCAACTCCGCCTCCTCCTCGGCCTCCTCTGCATCCCCCTCCTTTCTCCTCCGCGCTCTTTCTGACACTCCTTCAGCACGTTCCGAAAGAGTCCTGCCAGAACGCGCTCAACGCGTGCCCAGCCTGGGCCTCCGACGTCTGCATGCGTTTTACGATGTGGCCCCTGGAACTCTCGATCGGGTTCCTGGGAATAGCTTCCCCGCTGTGGATTCTCCATTGGGGACGGCTCCGGGGCCAGACGCGAGCCTTCGAGGGGCACGGCTCGGGACCGACAACCGGTCTGCCGACATGTGCATGCGGAGGGTAGAGGCAGGGAGGGGATGAGAGGGGAGCGGGAGTGGGACTGAGCGAGTGACGCAGGGCGCTGCGGATTCAAGACGGGGTCCCAAGACCACAGGAGCGGTGTGGTTGAATATTGGAGCCGGGGGGCGCGAAACGAATGACACGATGAGCACGTCAGCACCAATGCTTGACTTGGAATTGGTGGGGGATGCTTCCCAAGACGTGCTCGCGGTTTCCATGGACAAGCTCTAACACCGCACAGCTAATCCGATGTGTTGCGGACGCCAGGGAGGCGACGAAGTCGGAGGAATGGGCTCCCCGACTGTAACTTCTCTATGGACGGGGCGAACGTTTCGCATGATATTTGTCATGGCCACTTTCGATCCCAT